TTTGTGACCTTCGGACAAGCGAAGTCAATGGGGGAAGCCAGTTTCATTTAACAACTTTGTTATGAAATTAACAACCGAAGTGATTGACTTCATAACTGTGGCAAGAACGGCTGTAAAACGGGACAAAACTACTTAACAAATGTCTCGCTTAGCCACAGAAATGTTAGGCTCAATTGTGGTCGTAAGTCGAGGATTATCTGTCTAGAGCAGGGGTAGGCCACCTTGGCTCTTTTATGACTCGTGGACCTCAACTCCCAGAATTCCTGAGCCGGCCATGCTGAGGGGAAAGGGAGAGGTTTCCAAGCTGAGCCATGCTGGCTCAGGAATTCTGGGAGTTGAGGTCCATGAGTCATAAAAGAGCCAAGGTTGCCTAGCCCTGGTCTAGAGGACAAGGGATGGAGAAGGCAATTTAGAAGAAAAAGGGAAGGGCCTGTTGCTTCTCCTAAAGCTAGAACGAGAAGACCTTCGGGGCTGCAGCAGTATCACCGGAATTTCATATACAGTCATCTGGAGGTTGATACAGAAAGGCCGTTCCTTTGTGCAGATTCAAGGCTGCACCCCCACGAAACAATTGTGAAAGAGAGATGTTCTAATCTAAAGAATTACGCTGGCAATTCCTCCTGCCATTCTCATCCATCTGAAATTAGGCTGGAAGTAGGAAGTGTGAACAAAAGCTAATGCTGCTCGGCACAGATCACACATTTGCTAGATGTTTATTTCACTTTGCCCTTTCCAAACACAATTTTTTCCCCCAGGGGAGCTTTAAAACTCCAATGGAAAAGGGAGGGAAACCTTTAACACCCCCTCCCCCGTGTTCTTTATAAAATTATAAATTAAGCAAAATTATCAAAATGAAAGGGAGTCACAAGTGTTACTAACAAAAGAGCAGCAGTGCTTTGGTGTCTGTCAAAGGATGTATTTTCCCTCTAATACTATAGAAACTAATATATATTAATTATATTAATTATATATTATATTAATTATATTATTATATTATATTATATTATATTATATTATATTATATTATATTATATTATATTATATTATATTATATTATATTATATTATTATATTATATTATATTATATTATATTATATTATATTATTATATTATATTATATATTGTATTATTTATATTATATTATATATTGTATTATATTATATTAATTATAATATAATATATCATAGCATAGCATTGTATTTATATTATATTGTATATATTATATATTATGTTATTATATGTTTATATTATATTATATTATATTTATTATATTATATTATATTATATTATATTATATTATATTATATTATATTATATTATATTATATTATATTATATTATATTATATTATTATATTATTATATTATATTATATTATTATTATTATTTAGATTTGTATCCCGCCCTTCTCCCGTAGGACTCAGGGCGGCGGACAATCAATTAAAATACACAAATAACAATACGGATTTAAAATTGATTAAAAGGAATATTAGAGAATTGTCCAATTTAAAATATTAATTAAAACCCCTCTTAAAATTACCCTAGGCCAGTCCTGCAAGCTGGAATAACCAAGTCTTGAGGGCGCGGCGAAAGGAAGGGAGATCAGGGATAACCCTGATCTCTGGGGGCAGTTCATTCCAGAGGGTGGGAGCTCCCACAGAGAAGGCCCTCCCCCTTGGGGT